GTTTTAAAAAGTGTAAAAAAAAAAGAAGACATTGCTTTCAAATGCTATTCTGCATTAAAAAAAAAAAATCAGATGGAGCACAGAAGCCAAAACAATTGGACTCCTCACAGAAATTAGCTGTGTTTATTCGAGATTTGAAGATTTCCAAATTATATAGATGCACATGTAGAAGTACTGTAATTTAAAAAGAATTATTATATATCTTACTAAAATGGGGCAGCCCTTGGCCACATACTCTGTATGCATTCCCAGTTAGCTATTGAAATGTCATTCTCTATATTATTATGGTCCTTTAAACCAGATGTTGACTGAACAACCCTGTCTGACAGACCTTCAAATTAGAGGCTATTCTCTATAACAAATATTTTACTCTAAAAAAGAAGCAGTTAGTTTTTGGCTTCCATATAGATCTGGGGCATTATAGTCCTGTTTCTTTTTAAGGTTTTTGAATTCTAAGCTTCCAGGTATGCTGTATGGATTCCAGTATATAAAGTTTTTAATAATGAGAATGTGCAGGTCAAAGTATAAGTTTATTGTTGTACTGAGATCGCTGGAATACAACTATGGATTGAGTTTTGTGTTAGGCATTTTATTTTACAATGATGAAACCATAAAATCTCCCCAAAACATAGACAATAATCACAAATGAAGATGAATATACGTATCCCAGGATAATGTTGCAGGATCCAATTTGAGTCGGTCACCAGGATCAGAGGTTTAGTCTTCCAAACTTTTGGACTCTTGCTGGAGCCCGTCTTCAGGGAATTTCTCTCTAGCAAAGCGTGTGCTGTCCTGTGTGTGGTATTTATATTGTAAGTGGCTTTTCAGATGTTGACTGGGGTCTGTTGATGGCTGACTTTTAAGTCATTAGCTGTCATTTGCTTATGCTGCCCAGCCCTCACCTTCTAAGTACTGGATAGGCTTGTGGTAAATCAGAAATCCTATTGACTGACAAGGGGCCTGTTTCCCAGGCTTCAATCACCTCCCTGGCTGTTTTCGTGCCTGCTTATCCAACAATCTTAGTAGCTGCAAAATTGAATGTGTGTCCTTGTTTATTGCAGTGTGAGGCTACCAATGAGTTCAGGTCTCCTAGTCTGACCCCTCACTTCTGTTCTTGCAGTTTGGGGGATAGCTTCCTCCCAGTCTTTCCTACATAGTCACAGGGGCAATCCATGCAGGGGATTCTGTAGATTACATTGGAAGTATCTCCAACCTCCAAGCAATCTTTACAATGCATAATTTGTTCTTGTATGGTAACCTTTGGCAACACAAAAACAGCCAGGGAAGTGATTGAAGCCTGGGAAACAGGACCCTTGTCAGTCAACAACATTGCTGTTTTACCACCAGCCTATCAAGTACTTAGAAGGCGAGGGCTGGGCAGCACAAGCAAAGGACAGCTAATGACTTAAAAGCCATCCATCAATACACCCCAATCAACATCTAAAAATCCACTTACAACAGGCACTATAAATACCACACACAGAACAGCACACAACTCTGCTAGAGAGAAATTCCCTGAAGATGGGCTCCAGCACCAGTCCAAAAGCTTGGAAGGTGAAACCTCTGGTCCCAGTGGTTGACCCAAATTGAATAGACAATAATATTGTATTTTAAATATGAAAATGCAAACAAAAAAAGTCACAGGAAACCAACACAAAATGGCTATGATACCATGCTGAAATCAGAGTCATTTAATAAAGCCTTATTTGGATTTCAGATACAAGTGTCAAAAAATCCCCTCTCTCTTTAACAAAATTCTTGGCTATAAAAAACCACCAGCAGAATTTATATTTATGAAACTGTGCTCTCAAAGCCTATTGGGGAAATATGTATATATTTATGGCTCCATAAAGAATGGCTACATAATTAAGGTAAGTGAACAAAGCGTCTATCATTATGAGTTTACACAACCTGTCCTTCCCGACTTCTGAGGGCCAGCACTAACATTCTGTGTATAATATTCTGTATATAACATTCTGTATATAATCATATTGTTCCAATGGCTTATGAGAAAACATTGGGTGAGTTGTTTTAAAATCCTTTGAGTCCTTTAGGAATCTATCAGGCAACAATGACAAACGAATCCCTTCCAAATATAACTCTACCATACTCTATTTTAGTACTGGTAGCAAATTGTGCTGTTTGATGGAATATGGGAGTGGCAGCCTATCATATTCAGGGGGCATTCAGGTGGAAAGAAAACAAAGTGTAAAATTCAATCACTGGAATAAAACTCCTTGTTCCGAAACAAGTCTTTATCTGCCCATCACAATCCTAACAAAATGAAGCATGGTAGAAAAACAACATAGCTTTTTTTTTTATTTTTCTGGCCAAGTCCTGGAAATGAACTGTTTAAAATAGAAAAAAAAAAAAGCATGAGGTCACTTTACTTGGCAAAAAAGCTTGCACGGTTTCCATCAACTTCAGTAGCAACATTTGTCTCTGCTATGAAAAAACTGGGCACTGACTTCTGTGGTGTCACTTGGAGGACAAACCAGCCCCAAGAGCAAACTTCTTGCTGTCCTACGGAATTTAAGCCAAAAAAAATTAAATTTCATAATGTAATATTGCGTTATTTAAACAGCTGTATAGTGGTTAGCTGCCATAGATCAGTTAAGTAAAATATTATCTGTATGTAGGTTTATGTACACAGTATGTGTGTAGGATGTCTATGGGTGTGTGTATGTCACATTTTTTTAAAGAAAAAATCTTCAACAGTAGACAATAGTGCCATTCTATTATTTATTTGTTTACTCTGATTATCATTTTAACCCCCCTTGTATGCTGCCTAGGTTGCTTTGTGATGGGGCAGCCTAGTTTGATCTTGCTTGAGAAAGCACCAGAGACAGATTTTCTTTGTTCTTTGCTATACTAGCTAGCACTCAAGCTATTTAAACCATCTTCTTTTAATTTAATCCCATAGAAATATGATGTATACTACAGCCACAAAGCAACATGCAAAGGCATCTTTATATGAAAATCCATTAATTTTATGACTGAAGGAGTGACGTTTGCTTTTTGCCTTCCAGAAATTTGATCAAGAAAAGTAAGAATCCTAGAAAGAAAAAAGTATTCGTGTGGGGGAGGGACACCAATTAATTAAGTCAGCACAACTGCTTTTAACCACCCGTTGTTTATTAAGTTCTGCTGGGAAGCTCTATGAATGTTTGTAATAGAGTGAAGAACTGGCTCTTTGGGTTATTTTGGACCAAAAGAGCTTCACAGATCTTTGAAACAGCAGTAGTTACTCATTTTATAAATGTAAGGATTAGGAAGTTTAACAAAAGCCTTGCTATTTTGGTAGAAAAATGCCTAGCATTGTGAGCTTCGAAAAGGATCACAAATGAGATTCGAAAGGAGAGGAAACTGGAGTATCTGATGGATGAGGACCACAAATAAACATCTGAGCCCTTGCTGTATAATCTTACCATACCAGCTAATTTTTAACTATGTTTCCCAAGTACATTCACCTCTCATATTCGAAGTAACAATATCTTAGTAGCTTATGTAGTCCTTGCCTTACAACCATTCATTGGATTGTTCTAAGTTACAACAGCACTGAAAAAAGTTATTTACAACCTGTCCACGACCTGTTGTAGTTTCCCCAGTCTTATGATCAAAATTTGGGTGCTTAGCAACTGGTATGTATTTACAATGGTTGCAGCATCCTGGGCTCATGTGATCATTTGCAACCTTCCCAGCTGGCTTCCGCCAAGCAAAGTCAATGGGAGAAGGCAGATTCCGTTAATGACAGTGTGATTTGCTTACCTGCAATGATTCGCTTAATCACCATGTTCATAACATTGGGAACGACTCGCTTAACAACCGCCTTAACAATCCACTTAGCACCATACATCTGGTCCTAATTAGATGTAAGTCAAGGACTACCTGTAACATTACCCGATTGTAAATGTTACCATAATCCCAGAAAATGTTTCTTCTTCCTGCCCACAACAGGTATTTGAGCTCTGCTTACCATCAGGCAATACAATTACATTTAAACAAAGATTCCACTAGTTGAATGGCACATTATTATTTAATACTCCTTCTAACACATGTATTAAGTTCAATGTATAATGCCTGCCATTTCCTGGATCTTCCTACCCTGGACCCATTTTGAAAAACTTACTGTTGCCAGCTTTAACATTTTGGGGTCAGGTACTGGACAAGATACATATAAGGGAAGATGCCAGGATAATTACAATGTCTGTAAGCCACCCAGAGCCATTGAGTGAATGGGCAGCCACACAAATTTTCTAAATAAATAGGTAACAAATTATTGATAGTGCCAATACTTACAGCATGAGATCTTACTCTATTTGGCTAAGGTGTGCTTAGATAGTGGTAAGTAAGTAAGTAAGTATGTAAGCCAACCCTTCTGCCCACCAGACATTTAAATGATGCAGAATGGTTAGTATGAGCAATCCAGGACCTTGGTAGACAAATCAGTGTGATGGGTTAAGTAATGAATAGTCCCTTGGGAAATCCAGGTCAAGTGCATCCTGAGTCACAGAAGCTAGTGGGTGTTTTAGAAACAATCTCTCAGCCCAACCCACCACATTGAGCTGCTACAGTGGGGAAAAAATATGAAGAGTGTAATCTCTCTATGTCAACTTGCACTCTTGAATTAAATGTGAGATATAAATGGAACATACAAATATTTGTTCAAAGTTGCTGGGATATAGTGGAAGAACAGAAGTCTTTTGATTTGAGATGACTGAGAAGGAAATGACAGCTGAATTCAAACACAGTTGAAAATCACTCTATTGGATACAGCAGAGGTCCCCAACCTGGTTTTATGGAAGACAATTTTTCCAGACTGGGGGGGGGGGGGAGAAGCATGCAAGCTAGATTCCTCCCATGCACAGTTTACAATAGGGTTCACACTTCTATGAGAATCTAATGCTTGATGATCTGAGGTGAAGCAGAGGCGGTGATGCTAGTTGCTGAAGAGTGGCTGCAAATACAGATGAAGCTTTGCTCGCTAGCCTGCGGCTTACCTCCAGTTGGGTGGCCCAGTTCCTAACAGGCCATGTAATGGTCCTGGTCCATGGCCCGAGGGTTGGGGACCCCTGGATTACAGCAAATACCAGTGGGAACACAGGCCATTCTATCCAGAACAAGATGTAAGCGACATTTGTTAGTACAGTATGGATGATTCATCTCTATTCTATGATGCACTATTCTGTCATTTAAATTCCTATCATTTCTATTTTGAGGATAAAAAAGCTATACTTTGTAAACAACACACAACTCTGGGTTTCATGACCATTTCATGATTTCACTGAATATTCCAGAAAAGTTACTTTCTAGTTGGTTTTTCTGCACCCCTTTCACAAGCCCAAGGATATTTCAGGAAAAGAATACTCAGTTTACTCAGCTTATTGAACAATTTATTTATTATATTTATTACACGTTAAACTTGCATTTTCAAAAACCAGTGTCCTACTATGGTCTTCAAAACTAGGCTGACCAGCCTCATTTGGAGTTTCTGCTGGAAACAGGTTGCTGGCATTTCTTCCTAAATCGAATCAACCTGACCAAAAAACTGATTTGATGAAAGAGTCTTTACAAGATCCCCCTTGCACAGGATTTCTTTTTCTATGGGAAAGTCCTCTCCTCTAGAACATGGGCTCTTCAAACAGAGATGGTACTATAGCTTTAATAATGATATGGAGGTAAGGATTCATTCCAAACTTGGTGTCTGGGCTTCTCGGTAAGCAACGGGGCCCACTGCTGTAATTTGAGAGGAGGAGGAGAGAGACAGAGACACGAGACAGAGAGAAAGATCCTACGCCAAAAGCTGGAGTCCCGCGTTAGCACCAATCCAGATGTAGAACTGGAAAAAAAAAGTAGCCCAAAGCGGTTGCAACAACTCCGGGCAGGTCTCACTCAAATCTGGACTCAAGCACGCCCTCTCTCCCTCCCCGTTTTTTACTTGAAAGTTTTCTAACGCGCGTGGAGAGGCAGGAGAAAGGAAAACGTGGTTAAGGAAAGTTGGTGGGAAAGAAGCCAGAGGCTCCTCCTTAAGGTTTGTTGATCTTCCCCAACCACCCCCTTCCCGGGAAAAACGAAGTTCTCGCGGGCAAATCGGGTGCAACGGAGAACTCTCTGCGGGGAGCGAGAAGGGCCAAGCGACCGCTTTCCCACCGGGTCCCAATGAAGTCCTGCACGAAGGGCGGTTACAACCAGAGGACTTGAACCAGGCGCGACCGGAGTTGCCTTTGCCCTCCACTTCGGGACGCTTAAGTTTGTCGGGCAGCTTCCCTCCCCCCCCCCCGGGATGCTGTTGGGGCTCCACTCGTTGTGGCTGCTGAGCTGTTCGATCAGCTTGTGCCACGGCTATTTCGACGGCCCGCTTTACCCGGAGATGTCCAACGGGACGCTGCATCACTATTTCGTGCCGGACGGGGACTACGAGGAGAACGACGACCCGGAGAAATGTCAGCTGCTTTTCAGGGTGAGCGACCGCCTGCGCTGTACAGCGAACGGGGAGGCTGAGCGCTCGCATCCCGTGGCGGCGGCGCCCACTCTGACGCTGCGCGAGGAATTCACCGTCCTGGGCCGGCAGGTGGAGGACACGGCGCGCGTGCTGGAAGGCATCCAGAAGAGCATTGCCTACGACCTGGACGGCGAGGAAAGCTACGGCAACTACCTGCGCAGGGAATCCACGCAGATTGGCGACGCCTACGCCAACTCGGAAAAGTCGCTGGGCGAGCTGGAGAACAAGTTCCGGCAGGGCCAGGAGCACGAGAGCCACGAGGAGAGCAGTCTCAACGACGACTTCCTGGGAATGCTGGTGCATGCGCGGGCCCTCCTCAAGGAGACGCTGACCGTCTCGGCGGGCCTGCGGGACAAGTACGAGCTGCTCGCGCTCACCGTCCGGAGCCACGGCGCGCGCCTCAGCCGTCTCAAGACCGAGTATCTCAAGGGTTGAGCAGGAGCGCCCCTCTTTCCTCCCCCCCCCCTCGGTGGCCACGCGGCGGAACTCTGCCGGGCAAGGACGGGTTTTCCTCTCTGCCACATCCCGACCGACCCTTTGCTACTGGTACCACAGTGCAGATCGTTTGCGAATTTTCATCAGAGCACTTTGAAAGAGCAAAGTAAAGGGCCTACCTTTAGGTGGCGTGAAAGACGGTTCAGACGACAAATCGACAGTTGTTTCCCCTTGTGAAAAAAAAGAAAGAAAACTGATGAGGGCGCTATTTTTGCTAGGTACCAAAAAAATCCAGAAGAGTGTCATCAGCCTATTTTTTAAGTTCGTTTCTTAGCTTTCTGACAGATGGAAATTCAAGTTATGGGGGGTGCGGTGGGGTCCAGGTCAGTAAAAAGAGCGTTTGTGGGATTCCAAATGGCAAAAGTTGAAAGACGCACACAAGCTTACTTTATTGCATTCATCCGCATTCTTTAGCATAATCTGAAATAGAGGGAACAAATAAAGTGACCATTGGCACAATCTATGTACTTAAGTTAGTAGCTCATTGGGCTGGCTTTTTCACGCATGGCTAGGTTGCAAGTTTTTGCTCAATTACTTGGAAGTAAGTTCTATTGAGTAAAAAAAGACTGAATTTGGAGGCAATATTTGTAGGAGTTGCTATGATTAAAAGCTTTAAAGATAAGTCCTTTTAATACCTTTTTAGTGAGTTCAAAGAGGTAAACAATGGTATAGTCAAACATATCTCAGTTCCAGAATTGGGGGTATCTGATATGTTGCAAGAGTTTTAGAATTTATTGGTCACAATTCAGCAATGTTATATACACTTAAGCCTACTGATTTATTGTTTTATGGAATGTGTTGTTATATAACTCTGGGGGAAAATGTTATAGATGGGAGATGCTTTTGAACCTTGTCCTCTAGTTCTTTCAAATGAAATCTTCTGAACTTCCATATGATGCAGTATTACTAAAAATCAATAATCGATAGAATTTTTGGTGCCAAGGTTTCCATATATTTTATTTAGCTTGTTTTCAAAATAAACCTATATGGTTGCCACTGCTTGCCTGATCCCACTTTGACAATTGAGGAACTCAGTTAAAGTAATATATTAATTCTTTTGCTAATTGATGATAACTACCCTGGAAATTTGTGATGTTATCAATGGTTTGATAAAATTATGGAATGATAGTTTGGGGTTTTGAGAAAATTATGGAATGATAGTTATTTCATTTTAATTCATTAGGAGAAGAAAAAAGATAATGCTTTATATTAGATGTGAAAGTAATTTTCTCCATAATTTTAGTGTTTTATGGATATTTTATGCATATTGGTCATTTAAACAAGAATATGATAGTTATAAACATGCACTCAACTCCAAATAATAGTTATTTTCTCTCCCAGTTTTATTTTAATTTGCCCTGAATCGTGATTACCCAAAGAAATGTCTTTATTGTTATTTTAAACATGCTATTCATAGAGTAGAAAAGTGCAGTTCTATAGTACTGCAGTAAAAGTTGTAAATCTCATACACTTTGTTTACAATCCATGCAGAGTACATAACTGGTTGCTGCATTTCTGGCTGTGCTTTAAACTTTACAGAGAATAGCCATCAGAAGATAATATTCTGGTATCAGAAGACCAGTTGCTTCAGCTATAGTTTGATGTAATGGGTATTCTAAAATAAGCAAGTTTTTTTTTAAGGGGAAACCAGCCTCTATGGCTTCCCAGGAAAACTCAGCCAAATTGGAAGCAATAACTCACTGTGCCTCTCCCTGTTCTGCGCAAAAGGCTTTAAATTCCTTAAAGAGATTTTGCAGAGCTAAAGCTACTGTTAAATGTTGCTTGGCTGCTTCTAAGATAACAATTTCCTTCCCAAAGAATTCTTTTGGGTTGCCAACAATTAGGCAGATATTGGAACAATTTACCAATCCAAGAACGCCTAGTCTACATTATAATGTTCCACAACTATGAGTTCTATAGAAATTTTAATGTTGTGTTGATAATATAGGCATAGCTTTTAGAAGCAACAAAGAAAAAGATTTAATAGATTTTTGCCATTGATATTCCACTGTAAGGACATACAGTTTATGCTTCTGGATGGCTAAAGCAAACCTAGTAACTCTTTCAAAAGAAATGAAATGTTGGCAATCCAAACCAAGGTAACAAAAATAGGTTTGAGGTTTTTGTTTGTTTGTCATTTTCTTTTGCACAGAATACTCATATTTAAGTTGAAGTGAGATTAATTTAAATGTGTCCCACTTTTCAGAAGAAAATGGTTGGGGTGCTTGAGGCTTCTAAAATCATGAAAAGGGGTGAGTGTAGAGGGACAGCCAGCAAAGCTCCAGAGAAACTAAACAGCAGCTTTGCATTACAACTTAAGACTAAATGACAGTAGAAAGTTTTCATTACTGTAAAATAGCCTTTATTCCTTGGGCCTATATGACCAATGCTAAACTGCTTCAACAAAATACTAACACCACTGGTTGTGGTAGGGCGTTGCCAATGTTAAAATAAATAATGCTCTGCAATTGCAAGATACGCGACACATTCCTTACTCAGATAGGATATTTGGAAATAGGTACCAGAACCACTGGATATGGTTCTGAACAAAAGATACTCAACTAAGTTCATCATCATCATCATTTTAACCATTGTCTTTCCATTCAGGATAAGGCCTCTTCCACATGTTTCCAACCAATAAGGTCCTGAGCTTTGTTTTGCCAATTGGGCCCACTCAGCTAAATTAAAATATATTAATTTTCCTGCCATTGTTCCTCAAAGCAACAGTAATTAATTTGCATGGTGTTGAATCCTATAGTTTTGAATTTTTTCATGCAAAATTCAACTTATATTGTGATATGTAGCATATGGTCACAAAAGATCTAATTTTCCCCTATAGTTGAGAACTATAGATACGCAGTGTCTGCAAGAGCAATATTACCAAAAGCAACCAACAACAGGCTTACAATGGTTCTACATAATGTTTTCTTTAAACATATTTAATAATATTGTCAATACATCAACAAAAACCTAATCAGGTTGCAAATCCATGAAATCGGACACATCATCATGGCATATTCCTGCTATATTGCTGTATATGAAAATGCTGTCATTTCTGAGAAAGTTCATGTCTTCACTTTTCCTTAAAATGTATGCATCATTTTTGCAACAAAGCTTAATCCATAGTAAAAAACATGGCAGTATCAGCTTCATTCCCATCAAATAATATAAGGGGATATTTTTTTAAGATAGTACAATTCAATAAAAAATCAGCATCATGAAGCCCCATTGACCTTAAAACATAATCACCGCTTGAATTTTTCTTTGGCATTAGCGAGGCTTCAGTTTTTGTGGAATTAAGTTTAGAATTATTTACTTCACTTAGATTTTTTTAACTATCTCAGCAAGGCAGAATATTTTATTATTGAGATAACTTACTAAAGTGAAAGATTGCCATCTAGCGCTTTAGAAAGTCTGATATGCTTACTTTGGAAGAATCCACAATAGAGTCTGCTTCTTAAAATGTGATTTATGAGCTGTATGTTATAGTTTTTAACCAAAGTTGCTTTTTCAAAAGGCAACTGGACTTTGTTTTTCCTTGAACTTTTTGAAAAAGCACCTTTGGGACATCCATGACATGGATGACTGAGAATCTCCACAGACATTTATAGTTTTTAAGCTTATATTGTAATTTTTATACAAGAAATATATATGATGCTAAAAACTAAATTAAGCATTCTAAATTTTAATAGCCTTTTTATATTCCAATTTATTTCTAATGGCAGATGATGTATACTTTTTTTTTTACTTTCTCTAAAACAAACGCTTGAATATTAATGAGCCAAGAAATTTTGAATTCATATCTTGGGATCTATGACTCTTTCTCTCTCTTAACCAAACTGTTTTCATTCTTATTTTCTTTTGTTTGATTTTATTACTCTCCCAGTTACAATAGGAGCCGAGGTGGCGCAGCAGTTAGAGTGCAGTACTGCAGGCCACTTTAGCTGACTGTGCTCAGCAGGTCAGCGGTTCAAATCTCACCGGCTCAAGGTTGACTCAGCCTTCCATCCTTCCGAGGTAGGTAAAATGAGGACCCAGATTGTTGGGGGCAATGTAAATATATATATATACATTGCTTACTGGTGTACACCGCTTAGAGAGTGCTTGCACTTAAAGCGGTATATAAGTCTCATAAATAAATAAATAAATAAATAAATAAAACAAATTTGAGCAGAACCAGAGCTCCTGTTGCTTCAGCCAACAAACTGAAATAGGCATGGATTGTAGTCTATACCTACTCTCATATTTTGGGGGGGGGAAAGAATATATCTATGGTACTCTCAGAAGTCTTGTAATTTAATTTGGGAAGATGCGTAAAAAGAGTAGATTTTTCTTGAGATTATTTTAGAGTAAAAAATTTAGGGTTTATAAGGTTCTGGGCTGCTCTGTCAAGTATTTAAAGCTGTCATGTTTCCTTTTTAAAAATAAAAATAGTAAATAATACTTTTATTTCATTTGAAATCTTCATTTTAGGGGTCTCAATAGAGTCAGATTCCTATAGTTTTAATAATATAGATAGCTTACATATTAGTTTGCTTGTCTATTTCCATTCTATATTAAACTGAAAGGATCCCTGTCTCCTTTTGCATCATTATTTTCTCCTTTCCTTTGTATTATCATTTTTCTCTTTATTATTCACAGCATGAATCCATATTTATGAGAAGCAGCTGCTTTTTTCCCTCAAGATTCTAAACATATTTCCTTGAAAGACTTGTTGCTACTGTGTAAATGTGTTTGGCTCCTAAAGCTAGTTGTAGTTCTTTTAACATATATCATCAATAATTTTGTCCTTTCCATGCTTTTTGCTAGCTTCTGTTTCTTGAAATCATTTATCTTCTTGGACAACAGCAAAACTGCATGGAGGGATTTTTTAAAAAACTATTGTTCTAAATTGAATATTAATGCAATTAATGATTCAATAACTAATGTTAACTTTCAATATGGCAAAAAAGGCAATTTTGCATTTATTTAGTTTTCATACATATTTAAGAAATACTTAAAAACATGTTTAACTCCTGCAATTCAGAGAGATGTTAATATTTATCATACACTTGGGACAGATGTTTCTTTCAGAATGCCAAGGATTTTTTGTAGATTGTGCAGTTTGTTAAAACTTGATTTATTAAGTCCAGTTTACAATGAACAAGGATAAAAGTGATACAAAATAGATTAAGGCAGCTACAGATTTAACTGCTGTGTAAAAGAGAAATTTTCAGCTCAGTTTCCTTTTCAACTTAAAGAGTAGTAGGTGACTTTTTGCAGGATTGTTGAACTAAATGTGCCTTTAAATCTACTACAAGGACTCAAATCTTCCTATATTCTTATTCTCTTTGTAAGTTCTCCCAATGAACATTGTCTCTAAGCTCTGGACTACATGAAGAAGATCCTCTTATATATAAATCCCTGGAATATTAGAAAAGTAAGCATACTATGTCTGGGCTGCAGAAATTCAGAGGACAATTAGATAGCAGTAAAGGTATTTGCCATCTTCTGCCATGGTTATCCAGATGTTTATAGTCTAAAATGTTTGTAGTCTAAATACAGTGTTTTAATGACCTATGGTTCCATTTGCTTGGAAAAATCGGCAATCAAAAAACAAATCAATAGAAGATCAGGTAGGCAGATATTATTGCCACTAACTCAAACACAGCTATACAGGAGCTCAAAGGAGAAAACGAAATCCATTAGGCCATAAATAGTTGGAAATGACTCAGACTCAGCAACCGTTTCTCCACAATTCATAGATATCATTCAGTCTGCTTTGGCAATTCCTCTTGGCTTGGAATGGCAATGACAGAAAATGTTTATGTAGCCACTTCATAGATGGAATTCAGTCACGATTACATTGCTCTTCCAGGGATTATATAAATCAGGGGTCCTCAACCCCCGGTCCATGGACTGGTACTGGTCTGCGGAATGCCAGCAACTGGTCCGCACAAACAAGCAAAGCCCCATCCGCGGGATGCAGGCAGCACACAAAACCACGCCCCCTCCGGTCCATGGAGAAACGTCTTTCCAGGTAACCGGTTCCTAGTGCCCAAAAGATTGGAGATCTCTGATATAAATGATGCCTGTTCTTTGAATTTTCAATAATACTAGACATGGACTTTGGAGCAATATTGAAGTTTTTTATGGAATCATATTGTTATGATTTTGTTGAATAACTTGACTAAATTTGTTTTTAAGTATGTATATGGAGAGGTTAGCAGGAAAAAAAATCTAAATGTTTTCCAAAGGGATGGCGCTCAAGTCAGAACTTAATGAAAAAAGAGACTGAATACTGAGCCCCGTCCCAAAGGTTGACCCAATTAGTATACATGAAATTGATTGTGGAAGCAAAACACTAATATAGCCTTGCTACTTTATTTGGATATTATGATGTTATGTTAAGAATGTTTCCTTACAACTTTTAAATTTTTAATAAGTCATTATTGTTTCTCTGCTTATTTAGCATATAAATGGACATGCTTAAAAAATTAATACTGAGCTATGAGAAACAAAAAACATTCCATTTTTACCAGTTACAAATGTAAAACAACAGCTATCTCTTTGAATTTGTTTCCAATCAATCCATGTTTGATTCTGAATTATCCTGCTTATCAGGTGATAGTATTTCGGTAACTGTCTCTATACAGGATGCTATAAGTACATATTCTTTACTGTACTACATCTTGTTATTAAATTAATAAAATATTTTTATTCTTTGAAATGCTTATTTTGAATGCTCCATTGCTATATTTTTTTAAAAAATTAGCCTTTTCAAGGACACTTAAGTGTATACATAATTGTTTGTATATATACACACACTGAAAGAGAAACAAAACTCCTTAATCTTACAATACATAGACTCAATCATAGTTTCAGGTAGGAAAATTTAAGCATCCTAGACCAAGCTAAATCCATGCTAGGAAATTTCAGAAACTTGGCATTCAGATAAATCAGTTATGAATAGGCACATGGATAAACCACATTTACATACTATTCAAAAAAGACAATAAAAAGCTAAGAAGGAAATGAAAAAAGAACACATCCTCTTCAACAGCAAAACACAAATAAGCAGGGATTAACACCAGACAAATAATCACATAGAAGACAATTCCATAATCATGGAACTATAGGTAGTACATAATTTACAACCATTTGATTAGTACTGTTCAAAGTTATAATGGTGCTGAAAAAAGTGACGAATGATTCTCACATTTAATAGTTGCAGTGCCTCTGCAACTGTGATTGCAATTCAGGTGCTTGGCAACCTGTATGTATTTACCAGAATTACAGCATATTGGGGGATGTTACATGATTACCATTTGCAACCTTCCCAGTCAGCTTCCAATTGGGAAATTGGGTTTGCTTAATAATGGCATGGTTCAGTTAATGATCATGGCAAAAACAGTCATAAAATCGATTATGATTCAATAATAGTATCGCTTAATGTCTTTGGTCTCAATTGTCATAAGGCAAGAATTATTTATAATGTAGTCATTCACTGTGACTGGATACAGCTGAGGTTTCTAGATACAGCGCTTTTTTAAAAAAATAGCGTAAAAATATTTCACTTGGAATGAAAACTAGATGCTGGGAAGTAGTCATATCTGGATGCCTTTTAAGATTCAGTGACATTAGAATATAAGGAGATATTCTAGTAGATAATCAGGTTTCAAAAACCTGTTCAGCCTAACTATCCACTTTATTATGCATATACAAAGGAGTTGCAAGAAGAAACTATGTCATCTTAACTTTCTTTGGGAAACGGCAATAAAAAAAAGGCATAGTAAATAACTTCTGAAACACACATGGCTGAAAATGTCTTGGATTACTGCCCAAGGTAAAATGCAGGATAAAATAATAATAACTTGATATACTTCAGTTTAATTAGTTGATAATGATGGCCAACCTGGGGGCTTGATGGAATCTGTAAATTAACTTAATATCAAATATTTCAACAAAATGATATAGTAACAGCAACAAAAATGTGTAACACTATAAAGGAAATGAATTCCAGATTTGTATTACGTATTACTCTAGCTATTTCTAGTTAAAATACTCATTTTATAAGCATTTTGAAAATAGAAGGGAGTGAGTCATACTTCTGCTGCACAATTAAGTAATCTAAAAGGGAGCAGACTTAATTTCAGCTGGATAATGTTCTTTTCCACTTGGATCTCAAATACCCTTTATACTTTTCATCGGATGTACCAGTCAAGTAAACATTTCAGACTGTATTGTTTGCGTAGCTTGTGTGCAAAAAGCTGCAGAAATATTTTTAACTCTCAGAATGCTATGGTCATACCCTCTTTCATTTTATTGCATTTTGTAAAATTATGCAGAATAGCAGAAAAAGGGAAAGAAACCATAAGTAAAAGCAAGCAATAAGAAAAGGGAAATATGCCTAAACCAACATCATTTGCTTAAATCGTGTATTTTGCTACAATAGCCTCCATTCTTAACTATGGGTTGTCCTTACATTATTAACCCATGAACTTGTATTTATTTTGTTGTTTTGTATGAACAATAGATATGCTTAAGCCACACATTTGAAACAAACTGATCTTTTTCTAATTAGATACTGTAACTCACCAGTCACCCTTCTAATTTATTCTCGGGCTTCTAAAAGAGCCAATTACTTTTTCTTTATTCACTTCATTCTCACCATTCTTTCACGCCATTTAACAGAATTCTTCTACCCCTACCACAATCCTTCAGAATATTATACAATTCCTGTCAAAAATACTCTGCTTGTTCCGTTTTTACTATTCTTTGAAACAAATGTGCAACTAATGTTAATTTAAGGATTGCTATTTTCATTTGCACCCACAATAAATTAGGTAACACAAACCACATTTTTTAGTTGTGAAGCAGTTTGGTGCCAAAGGTTTTAAAGAAAGAAAAGGAAATCTGCTGATATTGCCTTTTTTTCTTTTTGTTCAGCAGAAATATTACAAACAGAACTATACTTGGAAATGAAATGGAGTCATGACATAAGTTTTCTGAACCCATTTCCAAGAATCTACCTAGAGAGATCATTGCCTGCTTTAATGGTACCAAATTAAAGCACAGTTTAAGTATAGGGTTATGAAATCTTTGAACAACTGGTTTTCAAAAAGAACACTGGACATTTGAATTAATTCTCATAGCACTCAAGAAAGCTAATAGGGTTCACCAAGAATAGACTGTTGAAATCCTCAGCTATGGAGATTAGAAAACCAATACTGATGATTACAGTTGAGATTTTAGAATATATATCTAAGTGGTGACTAAGAACTGACAACAACGTGATGTCACATAATCATTTTCAATAATGAAAAGACTTGACAATTTTGATCAACTTGGTGCTTTCCAAATGAGTTGGATCTCTCTTATAACCTTCACACTGCTTCCAGTAGTAGCTGAGGATAATGAAAATTAGGGGAATTACAATTCAATCCATTTTTCAAGACACCAGTCTGGGGAAAGCTGATTCAGAATTTACCGGGTGATAGATGTATTATGTTTATTTTTAAATAAAGGGCAGCCCATTGGTAATGGCAGGACCGTGAGCGAGAAAGAGCTTGCTGCTTATCTTTTCCGCTACCCCTTGGAAGTAGGAGAAGTCCTGATCAGGAGCGCCATGTCCTCCCCCATATACTTTTTGCTGCAAGTTCTGCCATTTCTAACTACTTCTTAAAAATAAAGAGGCAGGCCAGAGAAAACAGCCGCTGCTCTTCATCTCCTCCCTGGCTCACCTCCCTCCCAATACTATAAAGCAGAACATGCTTCAAATGCTGCCTTGAGAACCTGTGCAGCAGAGCCAGCCTTCCCCAATTTTCCCAAGCAACCTGCAGCAAGCCGCTTGCCCTCATGCCACCTGCCCTCCAAGGCGGGAGGTGATGTCACAGTACGCCTATTAGAAGGCCTATTGCTGTCAGCCACATTTGCACCCACATTAGCACAGGAGCAGGTCTAACTCGCTCCAGTGGATCGGAATCTCTCGGGAATCTCCTTAGTAATCAACTGAACACGCGAGCCCTGTGGACGCAGCCTTCTGCCTCGCTTTTCCCAGGGTGTTCTGAGCAGGGAACATTCGCTCCATTGACGCCGATGGGACATCTTTCTGCCTCCGCTCCGCATACATTATTATAAATAACCGGTGGCAAAAGGCCAGCAACCCTACTCTATCTCCCAGGGTGCAATGCGTGCGTAGGTTTACGCTGTTCCCCCCAAGGCTGAGTTGAGCGTGCGCGCGATTCTCCCTTCCTTGAGCGCCCTTCGGAGTTGCTGCTATAGTTTTTTACGGGCGGCTGTGCCCGATAGCCGACCTTAGCCCTATTTTAGTTTTCGTGGGCTGCGTCCGCTGGCTCGTTTTCCCTCTGCGCTGTCAAAGCAGGAACTAGCCAGGGCCCTTTGCCGGTTGTCCCGTTTCTGATGTCACTGGAAAGTAAAGAAGTTGCACCGCAGCTCTTACAACTTGTAGAAACGTTGGTGGTTTTCCCACTTTAGCTGCCGGGCCATCAGGAACAAGAGTGACCATCTTTTTCGGCCTGGTCAGGAGAAGTATTGCCCACTGTATGATACTGGAAATAGATGGGTGTAAAGAAGCCTATAAGTCCTCTTCCTCTGTAAGGTAGGATTTTATAAGAACCTATTTAGTTTATTAGATTAATCTAAGTAAGTATGTCATGTGTGAGACATATTAATAGGCTAAGTGTATCTCTGCATCCAAAGCAAAAAATTATGTAAAACAGAAATTTATGTAACAGCCGTTTGAATGCAGTTGATTTTATTTCAATTAATAAACATCCCCATGGAAAAATGGGGCAATCCCCCATGTGAATATGCAGCCATGCAATAAATGCAGGGGATGCCTACTATATTTGGAGACCCATTACCAGATCAAAAAGTAAATTAAATTTAAACATTCAAACCTTCAAATTTTGCAGTTAAATTCAGGATTATGAAGTTCCTCACTGGTGGCAGTTGATTAATTGTTGCTCCTGTTGGCCTTCACAGTGCAGCAACAGTGGGAAAAGCACATGCCTGAAGGTTGAATTCTGTGCCAAAAAAAAGTCACCACTTAAAAATAATAGTAATATGTTTCAAAGAAATGACTTGGTATTGTACAGTAAATTGAACTTTGATATAATTAGGCAGAACTGGAAACAAGTTTCTTATGACACAACCCAAAAAATGTATACCACCATAGAGTTATTTCTGTTTTTGTAAATGTATGTATCTCAGAGTAATATTCATGTGATATGTAATATTTTATTATAAAGGGATCACAAACTTGGAAACGAGACCCAATCTTTTTACACCGTGTGAGTTCTGATAAATTCACTTGGCTTGCTGCAGAGGACTAAACCATAAATTTCATTTAACACTGTGAGAAATTAACATGATGATAGACCACTGAACACTCTGAACCTTTAAAAGAAATGATAGACCAGTGGTTCTCAACCTTTTTAATGCGGCGATCCCCAACAGGTCATAAGTCGAGGACTACTCAACCGGTCGTAAGTCGAGGACTACTCAACTTGTGCAGCACCGTTTGCAGAATGGGACTTTTGGTGGGCTCAGCAGGGCAGAGACAGCCTGGACAATTCCTATTGGCTTTTGAAAGCCAATAGAATTAGACTCTATTCAAGAGAGTCTATTCTATTGGCTTTCAAAAGCCAATAGAATAAAAGGGAGTAGCACAGCTAAGGAAAAGGGGGGGGAAAATGGCGGACTGCGTTGTTTGGTGATCCCCGTGAAATGGTCGTTCGACCCCAAATGGGGTCCCGACCCACAGGTTGAGAACCACTGTGATAGAATATAAATACTTGGAAACTGATAGTACAGATTGTTGGATGGATGGAGGCATCTATTGACATGACAGCCATGTTTTGTCATTTCTGGGGGTTATTATTTGTTTATGTATTTAATTTAATTTAATTTTTCCTCCCCTTACTATTTTTCTAAATAATTCAAAGCGGCAAACCTACCTAATAATCAGTCCTTCTATTTTCCCCACAACAACAACTCTATGAGATGAGTTGGGCTGAGAACATGACTGGCCCAAAGACGGGACTGGTCTCCTGATTTCTAGCCTGCCTTACCTACTAAACCAATCTGGGGTTTTGAGTCTGTGAATCTCAAGAAAGTGGATAAAGTTCTCTGTGATTTCAGTTCTGCATCTGTGGATTGGATGGCTTGCCTCATTTGGCTTGTGAAAGCTGCTAGGGAGAAGACTGGAAGCTGGACCCAGGCTATAGTCAATACTTCTTTGGGAGAAGATCTCACCAGCCCTGAAAAGCTGATATGACTCATCCCTCAACAGGTCGGGAATCTGAATAAGTTACAAGGCTAGACGATAGAGAATTGTGGATTAAATTTGTGCGCAAATGGTTTTATGAGTTTGTATTAAGGATCACTACCCAGAGACCAGTAAAAATGTGTGCAATCCAAAGACTGAATAACTCAACTATTTTATTTTTGATGTGTGTGTGTGTGTATGTATATATATAGTTGGTTATTCGGGTTTTCTTCCGCGTAAAATTGGAAGTGTCTTGGCGACGTTTTGACGAAGTCTCATTCGTCATCTTCAGGCTGGTGTTTTCGGCTTCGTGCTTCTAGGAGTACGAAGCTGAAAACACCAGCCTGAAGATGACGAATGAGACTTCGTCGAAATGTCGCCAAGACACTTCCAATTTGACGCAGGAGAAAACCCGAATAACCAAAGACCTACATACATACATATACATACATACATACATACATACGTATGTATGTATGTCCAGTTGATGGCACTAATTAAATAAGATATGTAGCCTATCATTAACCTTTATTTAAGAAGAAACCAATTAATATTCAGTTTTATTCAGAGAAATCATAATGTATTAGACTGAAAAAACTCTTGGCCTGACCATTTATACTCTTGCCACTCAATTATCAGAAAGTTGATGGACAAAAGGTATGAAAGAGCTTTTCCTGCCTCATTTTAATGCTAAATTTATATAAGCCCATACATGCATATACCAAATAATAATAGCAATAGTTCTTAGACTTATATACCATTACAGCCCTCTCTAAGTGGTTTATAAAATCAACATATTGCCCCCAATAATCTCGGTCCTTGGAAAGATGGAAGGCTAAATCAACCTTGAGCCAATGAGAATCAAACTGTTGGCAGTCAGCAGAATTAGCCTGCAATACTGCATTCTAACCCTTGTTCCACTACAGTTCTTATAATGTATTATTTCTATAAGTGAACAACAGTGTATTTAACTACAGTTATACTTGTATTATCACTGTTCCATGTGTTGCATTGCTCTGGTTTCAATAGGGTCACTTCCTGTTACAAATAGCACTGAACAGAAGTTCAGTTGTCCCTCTCCCATATTCTCTGACACCCAACAGACCCTATCAGCAATGGTGAAGATATTCAATCTGAACAATAAGGAGACAACATATGTAGCAGATTATCTGGTTGTTTCATTTAATTACACAGTGCCATTTCCTTCAGCATGTTTTGACTGTAAGGCAATTGTGGAGATGTGAGTCCAATTATGTGCATGTTTCTACTTGCCTATGTGTGATAAGAAAGAGTGTTATCTATAAGTGTAGAAAGATATAAGAATTGTCTTTTTGCATGTACATATAGAAAATCAACAGCGATTAAATGCTTTCCAGATGTTTGATCTCATTACCGTGGTGTATATTATTAAAAAGTATATTGTGACTAGTCTTTTCACATATCTTCATGTTCTGCCATAATAACTTATTGAGTTTCCCACTCCACAAGCATATGGATATTTTTTTTTATAAATTAGTAATGTTTTTATTCAAAATAGAACTCTCTGTGTATAAGTTCAGAGACTTTCACTCAGTTGTGGTTTTGTGGGGGGAGGGAATTTAATCCCAAACAAAAGGTATTAATTATGGAAACCCATCACATTTGGAGGAAACCAGGTCAAAGAAGCTTTTCAGTGATCTATCAGCCATTAATTTTACATTCTCAGAAAAGCTTTGTTTATTGAGATGCCAGTGCAGCATTCACAGCTACCGGAGAGTATGGATGGGGAAGAGAGAAAATTCAGTTTACCAAGCAAAGCAGCTTATGCAACGGTTAACATATATAGGGAAGAGACAAGGAAGAGAATCAATATACAGCTTTACCAGATGTGTTTAATTTTGTTGCAGATGCTTGATGCCTAGCTTCCAGTGTTTTTATCATTTGAATTTATATTCCACTTTTTTATCCATAGGGCATTCAATTCCTCTCTTTCATTAAATTAATGAAAATACTTAAAATAGTTAGGGGCAAATACCTTTGTACTCAATATTCAAAAATAATTCCTTATTTTAATAAGACATACTTAACATGCAGAAATACAGTCAGAGAGATTTTTATTACATGAGGGTGGGTAATAGGGGGTAGGGAATCACTGAAAGCAGAGAGAAACACTCCTTCAAATAACAATTTTTTTCTCTTCCAACCATTATTTTTTCTTACAGGACTGGTGGAAGACAATTTTCATAGGAGAAGGCATTGATGAAGGGAAGACCAAGCAAGTGAAAGCAAAATGTGGATGTCGCTTGCCAAAAACATGTTAAGGACAAAACTCTACAAAGACTCTTCTCGAGTTTTGCTGCAAACACCAAAGGACAAGCCGAGTTATCAAAAGAATTTTTCATTGAGTAGGAAGCCTTGGTTACGTTCAGCAAGGGTAGTAACACAGGCAATTCAGACCCTCAATATTGGCACAACTATCCAGAAAGTAGAAACTTTAGAGAAAAAACAGTTTATCTGTGTTCATTGGGAAGATGGCAGTGAGAGCCTTTACCCATCGGTGTGGCTACGAGACAATTGCCAGTGCCCAGACTGTTTCCTACACTCTGCTAAAGCACGCAAACTGCTTCTGGAAAATCTAGATATCAATATCAACGTGAAGGATGTCACTCTGACAGAACAGAAAAAGGTAAAAAGAGTTTTATGTGTATATGCAGTTGTAATAAAATGAATACAACCATTATAATACAACAAAATAAAACCATGTAATAAAGCCATAAAACAAAATCATGTGACTCAAGGTGTTTTGGCCAAAGCAGACAACACTTCCTCTGATTTGGATATTAGATTTCTGTTGATGCACTCCTACAATCTACCTTTCTGCAACCCACATCATTTTGCTGGCCAATATTTTCTGCAGTCTAGTGCTGTTCCAAAATCTTTTTAACAAGTGTTTTAACAAGCCAGTTATCTCTCATCTTGCAACCTTGTTGTTGTGTGCCTGTTAAATTTTGTTATTTGCAAAAATACGAGATGTTCACTTGCATGGAATTTACTTGGCCTTGCATTCTTTGCAAAGGCCAAGTGAACTCCATGAAACAATTTTGAATGAAGTGCATTCAGACTGTGCTACACACAATACAAATGCATGCCTTTCAATATTTGTTTCTATTTCATGGAAGAAGGTAAATATTGTATGGCCAGATGACCACACCAGTGAATTTGAGGCCGAATGGTTGAAGAAGAGATGTTTTTCTGATCAAGCTAGAGCAAAAGCACAAGAAGAATTATTTTTATCAGGTAAGAATGCATGTTGTTGTGCTAACGCAGTGGTGGCAAACCTATGGCACACGTGCCAGAGGTGGCACTCAGAGCCCTCTCTGTGGGCATGCATACCATCACCCCAGCCCTACCTCCCCCGGCAGCACCCTCATTAGCAGCCCCCCAGGAGGTGAGTCACCCTGGGTGCGGAGCAGCTCAGCCAAGCACATGGCAGCTGGGCAGCAGGGACAAGATGATGCTGTGGGGTGCGGATAGAGGGCGTGTCCACCATGGCGCTGCAGGGCTGCCTGAGCGATCTGCTTCAGGTTGGGGAGGCGGGTGGCCAGGCAGGTGGGGCGGAGTGGGGGCTGGGGTGGAGCAGGCAGGGTGCAGCGACGAGGCGGGGCAGGTTTAGGGCACTTGGTCTCTAAAAGGTTCGCCATCACTGTGCTAACGTATTAAGTCAAGAGTCTCAAACATGATCCATAGGCCACATGCAGCTCTCCACGTCATTTTCTACAATACTTTGTAGGCACTGAGGTTCCTATCTAGGAAGGCCCTGGTGCCAGACACTACATAGAGGCACAGTCTAGGTTGTGATGTGTGTTCTTACCATTCTCCCAGTCTTAACTCAGCAGGGTTGAGTTCAATGGACTATGCAGTTGGCACTTCAAAGTCTATCAGACCAGGCAATGCTACCCTATGAGAATCCTTTACCATGGCAGGCCCTACTTCTGAAGCAGCTGTAAGAAGTCAGTCAGAAATGAGGTTTGGTTAGGGAAGATGGGCTAGGAGGTTGCCTAAGGGAAGGAAGGAGGAGGCAGCTGAGAAGGACTAGATCTCACTGCCACACTGTAGAGGTTTGTTTGCCAGAGGAGGATCGGAAAGACATCAAGTAAACAAGGTTTTGCTATTATGCAAAGGAAAGAAGGATTCTGCTGGGCCAGGAAAGAAAAGAAAATGAGAAGCAGGCAAAAAGAACAAAATATCTTTCCACTCAGGAAGGAAAGAGAATAAAAACAGTATTTTGGCAGTTCTTAATGGAATAGATGATATAATCGTAGATGATATAATCTTAAAGCAATAAATACATTACTTACAAACTGAGTAATAAAAACCAATTTTGATTTTATGATCAATGAAAAATACTGCTACCTAGATGGTCACCAAATGCAATGCTCTATTTCTCAAATAGTTCTGATTTGCAGTAATTTTTTTATTAAACGCATTTATATTTAATTGCATACTGTGATTCTACTCATATTCATTTTTGACTCACTACAAACTTTTGCATCAGTTTATGAAAAGGCTTTAGAGTTGCAACTATTAGGCTAATGATAACAGTGGCACTCATGATTATTTGAATTAGAGAGCTCTGTACTGTAGTGCAGAATTATGGGTATGCCAGTACGCCATTATTATTTTTCTATATGTATTTATATTGCTTTTTGTTAAAACTGGCACTAACACTTGCCTTTTAAGAACCAAATAAATTTCTGTACTGTACAAAGTAGCTTGAAAGTAGCTTGCTAGCTGGATTAGATAGACCCATCCTATCACTTGCTACTATATTTTCTTGGTGACCATTTCTGGGCAGGGCATATTTTAGCAGAAATGAGAAAAATATGCTCTTTGTAGCCAGCAGTTAACTGTATGGGTTTGCAGCAAAGATCTGAAACTCAGTTTTACATGTAGAGTTTTCCCTTTTTTCTCCTATACCATATATGTGGATAATGAATAAAAAGCTAAACATTTGAGGGTATTTTCAGTGGAATCAGCTATTTCTCCCAATAATACATCCAATCATATATCTTCTTGATTGCAACAAAATCAATAAAACCACCCTACAAATAGCTGTTTTTTGAACAATTTGTTCTTGGATCTTCTGGTAATTGCTGGTAAAAACTTTATACTACTTGAGTTCAAGGTACAGGAGTGAAGCCTTCATTTATATAGCTTCTTCCTTCTCAGAAAGATGTGTTGCAGAGATTTGTGTACATAGATTGTGGGCATACAATTCTATGTAAATATGTACAGTTATAAAACATTATCCTCCAGTTAATAAACAGGTTGTGTTGTTACTTGAGGATAGTTCTGCATTCTTATTTTGCTGAGCATGCAAAAGAAGAGGGGGAGAGAAATGAAAGGGAATATGAAATACAGGAGCTGTTTTGTTCCTTAGCTAGAGGTTTTTGCAATTCAGAAACCCAGCTCTTCCCTTGAGAGCAGTAAAAAAAACACATAAATGCCTTAATTGAATAATATAAATGGTCTCTGTTAACCTGTCCATTAACATAATGTTTTTATACCAAATTCCAGGAAAGGAAATGGCTTCATAGAATGAATTGATTTATGGAATTTTCCTTAGATTTTTTTTTTGTCTAACAGAGGCTTGAATTATTTAGTTCATCACATGATGGAGAGAGTTACCCACCCTTGGTCACTAGAGAGCAATGGGGTCTTTCCCTTCTATCCCACTGCATTTAGTTTCATGAATTAATAGAAACATGAAAGGAACACATATTTTCACTTGCTTTAATTTTTATATCATATATTATGAAATCAGGCAACTAAATGCTATACACCAATTTAAATAGTACAGTTTGTAAACCAACATACAAGCATTTCATAATATATAATATTGTAAATAAAGTTTCCTGCAGGATCCAAGCTGGGCCGGTCACTAGACCAGAGGTTTTTTTCTTCCATGCTTTGGGACTCGTGCTGGACCCCTTCTTCAGGGAACTTCTGTCTAGCAGCCAGCCTTCCTGCAACATTATCCTGGGACACATATATTTTTGTTTATTTTTATTCCTTATAAAGTTTTCCAACTATAATCAAGGTTTTAGTCAAAATTAAGCATAAACTAAGAGCATAACTAAGCATAAATCGATACAAGTAGTCCAGTGGTGGGATTCAACTACTTGAACAACCGGTTCTCTGTGTGGATGCAGTCCTGGGTCTCTGAGTCCTAGAACAGACTTCTGGAAGTGGCATCCATCCACTTCCAGTGGGCTATTCTAGGCCTGAGAGTCCTCCTCCAGGCCTCCAAGGCCTAGAACGGACTTCTGGAAGCAATGTGTATTCAGCCAGTTCTCCAGACTCAACAAAATTTAGCTACCGGTTCTGCTGAACTGGTGCAAACCGGCTGAATCCCACCACTGAAATAGTCCTAGATTTACAACCAGTCACTTAGTGACCGTTCATAGTTAAGACAAACTCTCCAAAAGGTACTTATACTGTAATACCCCACCGTCATATGATTGCATTTTGGGTACTTGGCAATCAAGCCTGCATTTACAGCCATTTGCAATGTCCTGCACTTATGTGAGTACAATGTATCACTTTTTTTTTTTTGCCGGAAACTTGTACCGTAAATGCCGGCGTACAAGGCGACCCGGCGTATAAGACAACCCCCGTCTTTATAGCCGGGCCGCATTCCTATAACGTCGTCTTATACTCCGGAAACTACCAGTATTTCCGGCGTATAAGACGACTCAGCGTATAAGACGACCCCCGTCTTTGGCGCCGATTTCAGCGCTCGCGGAAGTCGCCTTATATGCCGGCATTTACGGTATTTATTTCTGATGTTTGGCAAAAAAAAAGAGTCCATTGTGGACAATGGATTTACTTAATGACCGTGGACTTTCTTAATGACAACTACAAAAAAAATGTAAAATTGGGTTGGTCACAGGATAACCTGCTTAATGCCCAACATGATTTAAAAACCATAGTTCCGGGCTCAATTATGGTCATAATATAAGGACTATATGTAGCGGGAATTCAGGAAGTCACAAGTATTAATGAAATATAATTAGACTCTATTATAGCCTTATATTTGCATGCCAGATCTCTAATATAAGTCATCCAGAATCTTATAGGGGCTGTATATAAGTCTTGATGAAGAAAAGTTATATAAATAAAATGCTGATGATCACAAATTATTTGTCCCTTGATATTTCTCATTCTCACATCAATAATCTAGCAGATGGGAAAAGCTTTTAGGAGATGTCTATAGGATCTGGCCTTAAGTAGAATAGAATAGAATAGAATAGAATAGAATAGAATAGAATAGAATAGAATAGAATAGAATAGAATAGAATAGAATAGAATAGAATAGAATAGAATAATAACTTTATTGTCGCTTTGAATGTACACTAATCGGCATACATTAAAATGAAATTTCATTTCATACACCTCTCAAAGGGTCACCACCTCCAGTATACACTACATAAATATGACAAAAATAAATACAGAATTATGCATATACCCATATATATTATATGACACAGAGAAACAACAGTCTAGTTCGGATTATGTATAAATGTGCATGGCAAGAAAAATGAATCTTGCGAGTTTACCAGACGGATGGCATAGGGGCAAAGCTATTACAGAATCAGGTAGTCCTGCTAGAAATACTTTGAAACCTCTTCTCAGAGGGAGTAACAGAAAGTAAGACAGCAACAGCAACAACCTGCTTTCACACAAATGTGTACCCTGTTTCTTATTTCTCAATATACAACAATATCAATATCCATAGTCATGTTGGGAATATTGCTTTCTATTTAATACTCCACCAGATTTTGGGGAACAAAGAACATACAACTGTTATAACTATTTTATGTGGGTATTTTTCATATTCTGTAGGAGAGATGCATTTTAAGAGCTGATATTTATGCGGATAGTGGGAATTCCTATTCCTTCTGATCCCCCTCTGTACTAAAGCAAATTTGGGGTGATATAGGTTGAGTTGAGGGACAATATTGTTAGCAGGCCTTTTTAAAGATTCAGTTCTGTTTAACTGGATGTTGTATATTTTAGTTAAAAGAACTCTCTAGAATCAGTTTTAAAGACTTTTAAAAACTGCTCTTAAAGGATACAGATATTGTCAGTTATCCTATTTGTGAAAAATTCTCTGACAAGCCAGCCAGCTTTTATGGTCATTCCTTCCATTCATTAGCTAAAGGGGAAGAACTAAAGAGTCAGTTCTATGAAGTTGGAGAGAAACAGTTCTTCTGTTTGTTTGGGGATCTTCAATG